GAATTGGACTGATTTCAAGGCAGAAGAGGCACAAGCTTGACTCCAGCATCGAACCATTGCCGACCATTTCCAACACAAGCACAACAAGCAACCATGAGTCCAAAGACAGATCTTCAGTCGTACAAGCTTAATCACGCAATGCAAGTCTCTCATGTCTCTACAAGGCAAAACTCGCCATGTCTAACCTGATGTGTTTATATTCAGGATTCGGGTCAAAGATCCAAAGGCAACCAGTGAGAGGGCTTTCTCGGATGCAACGTGTCAAAATTACTGACGAAGAACGCCTAGTTCGGTTCTACGGGCTGTTGGGCCTCAGTGTCATTCAGAAGCTTTCGTTCCCGGAGAACAGCTTTGATCTCTATTTCCTCGGCAACGATGCTCCGACGGCCCCCTCGCATGGGAAATTTACATTTGACCGTCAGGGCCTCATCGAACTAACCCACAACTACGGTACTGAAGATGAACCCGGCTTCACTGTTAGCAACGGGAATTCTGAGCCGCATCTCGGCTTTGCACGCTTCACAATCTCGGTCAATGATGTGCAAGCCGCCTCCAAAGTGTTGAGGGATGCGGGCTATAGCTTCCGGCAGGACCCTTGTAGCAGCAACACCACGTCGGTCATTGCTTTGGATCCCGATGGTTATTGGGTCCAGCTCATCGAGCAACATGTGCCACGACTGTCTCCGGGTACAGAGAGCCATTGGAGCTATCGCACAGTAAGAGAAGCGTCGCACCGATGTCCTTTTTTATGTTGAGGACTAGGCGCGCTAATCCTTCAAAGAATCAGATTGTGCTCCGAGTGAAGGATGCGGAACTATCTATTCGTTACTACGTCGAAACGTTGGGCATGAGCCTTGTCAAGAGTATCAACAACAGCGTGGAGGGATCGACATTGTATTTGCTCGGCTACCCTTCCGAGGGTCCATTCAAGGACGGCCAAGACGTCTCAGCACGAGAAGGAATGCTTGGTCTGCTATGGCATCATGGCACTGAGAAGAAGGACGGGTTTCGGTACCACAATGGAAACGAGCACCCGCAAGGATTTGGTCACATATGTAAGGCAATCTGGCAACCATGACCTCAAATATCTAATGACAAGTGGTTACAGGTGTTACCGTTGACGACATCAATGCAGCATGCGAGAGACTGGAGAGTCTCGGTGTTGCGTGGAAGAAGCGGCTCACGGACGGGAAAATGAAGAACGTAGCCTTCCTTCTTGACCCGGACAACTATTGGGTGGAGCTCGTTCAGAATGAGCGTTTTACAGGCAAAGCAAATTTCTAGAGCTTGATGGTGGCCTACAATAGAAGTGTGCCTATTGCTTAGCCATACTGGGTGTTAATGATACGTCCCTACGCTGTGTCTGTAGAGTGTAGACATTCGCGAGCCCATCGTCGACATGATACTCGTCGCCGTACATTGCCATGCACAATGCCATTAATTGTGGGCCGCGGAACCAATATGAGCGTTGACTCAGCAAAACAGAACCTCTTGCCTTGGGTACTTTCCATTTCACCCCAATCTGCTGCTGTTTCGTGTTGTGAGGTGCTGGCACTTGGGAGGCTTTGCGTTAAACTGCTCTGGGCCCAAGCTTTCTCCAATCACTGGAAGGTGGACCTTCCCGCTCTGTCCCACCAGACACTAGCGTAAACTTGCCGTAAAGGGCAAGTGCAGCGTTCGCAGCGCGGCGTGCTTGCTTTGTTTGCTAGGTACGCTTACGCCCTAATACCTAAGAATTTATATAATTTATAATAAATTTATTTATTTATCTTAAAATATATATAAATTTATTTATTTATCTTAAAATATATATAAAGATATTTATTTATTTTAAAATATATATAAAAATATTTATTTATTTTAAAATATATATAAATATATTTACTTATTTTAAAATATATATAAATATATTTACTTATTTTAAAATATATATAAATATATTTACTTATTTTAAAATATATATAAATATATTTATTTATTTTAAAATATATATAAATATATTATAATATATTACTTATATAATAACTAGGTAATAACTAGGCAGGGTATAAGCGCACCTAGCAAAAAGAGTAAGCCCGCTAAGCAATTTACTTCGCAGCTCTACCAAGTCCAGTTAGCCTAAACCTGCCAATCGCAGAGAGGCGTTGCAAACAGCACCGCAGATGCTCGACTGGAAGGCACGGTTGATCATTGAACATGGCCGTGCTCGAGTTTGGCATCATCGACTGTGGAGGGGAAGGCAGTTGGCGAGTAAGCTTGCCGCAGGTGGCAAATTCGGGGGAATATTTTATGCATCGAGACGCTCTTAAATTCCTGCTTCTTATTTCTGTCTCAGCACTGCGCAAGACTCAACCGAAGAGCCATATTCGATCGGAGAGCAAGATACACCATGGCATCTCACCTCCCCCACCCTTTCGACCCTCTCAGCGGCGAGGAAATCCAGGCTGCGACCGCCATCGTCCGCAAAGCGCATGGAGATGAGCTTCATTTCCATGTCGTCTCACTTCAAGAGCCACGAAAGGCTGAAATGCTCGCATGGCTTGCTGACCCGGCAAAGGCTCCGCGACCGCGACGTGTTGCCGAGATTGTTGTAATTGACCCGCGAAATCTCAAAGGGCATGGCCAAGTTTATGATGGCTTGGTGGATTTGCAGAGCCGCAACATCACCAAGTGGATCAAGGCCAGTGGCCAACAACCCATTGTAAGATCAACTTCCTGTCCCTGTTGTGCCGAGTGGAACAGTAACCGGTCCTCGATGTAGCTTATCGTCGAAGAGCTTCTCGAGGTGGAAGCAGCCTGCCGCAGAGACCCAAAGGTCATCGAACAATGTCGCATCAGTGGTATTGCCGAGCACGAGATGGAAAAGGTCTACGCCGAGCCGTGGACCATCACTCATGACCCTCGATTCGGTACCGGCACCAGGATGATCCAGGGTTTGATGTACTTCCGACCCCAAGTCGACAACTGCCAGTACCAGTACCCCCTAGACTTCAATCCCATCTACGATCCCAGCAAGAAGGAAATTGTCGCCATCGACATTCCAGAGGTACGACGCCCGCTTCAGCGACACCCGGCCATCGACTACCACCACCTATATATCCAAAAGAATGGAGGCTATAGGACGGATCTGAAGCCAATATACATTACGCAACCTGAGGGCGTCTCGTTCAACATGACAGGAACAGGTCGCGAGATCGAGTGGCAGAACTGGAAATTCCACATTGGCTTCAACTACCGAGAGGGTATTGTATTCAACAACATCACATACAACGACAAGGGCAACGTTCGACCAGTCTTCTATCGCATGTCGATCGCCGAGATGGTTGTACCATAGTAAGAACAAGCCCCGTCTCCTGTGGACAGAATATCAGAGTGATGGCTACTAATTGATCATCCACAGCGGTCATCCTGAGCCCCCACACCACCGCAAGCATGCCTTTGATCTCGGCGAGTATGGTGCGGGTTACTTGACGAACAGTCTCTCACTTGGATGCGACTGTAAGGGAGCTATCCACTACCTAGATGCCGATCTACCTACACAGTCTGGTGAGGTCCGCAAGGTCAAGAACGCCTTATGTATTCACGAGGAAGAAGAGGGCATTTTGTTCAAGCACACCGACTTCCGAGACAACTCGACAATCGTGACTCGCGCCAGGAAACTAATTGTTCAACAAATCTTTACTGCTGCTAATTACGAGTATGCGGTCCAGGTGAGTTACGCTAGCAAAGGCATTCGCGGGAATGTGTTACTAATATAGCCACAGTGGGTGTTCCACCAGGACGGCACAATGCAACCGAATATCAAGCTCACCGGAATCCTCAATACATTTATCATGAACCCTGGTGAAGACCTCCAAGGTTTCGGTACGCAAGTGAAGAAGGGTCAGTTCTCCCGATGTAACGAAATGATATAGGACGCTATGCTGATCAAGAGAACAGGCGTCAATGCGCATAATCATCAGCACATCTTTCTCTTGCGAATTAACCCCAGCGTCGATGGCCAGCAGAACACGGTTCACATGGTCGATGCCGTTCCAATCGATGCGCCAGTTGGAAGTGCAGAAAATCCATACGGCAACGGCTTCGTTGCGAAGCGTACCAGGCTCGAAACGACCGGCCAAGCCATGACCGACTACAATGGCAGCACGTCGCGAACCTGGGATATCGTGAATGAGAACAAGATCAACAGCGCCAGCGGCAAACCAGTCTCTTACAAGCTCGTTAGCCGGGATGTACCCAATCTGATGCCAAAGGAAGGCTCACTTGTGTGGAACCGAGCGTTTTTCGCCCGTCATGCTATCCATGTCACAAAATGTAAGCAGTAATACCGAATCAACCTTGTCGAGAATATAGTCCGACTATGGACACTGACTTGCACCTTGCTTAGACTCTGATGATGAGCTTTGGGCAGCCGGAGACCACGTTGTCCAATCATCTGGTATCCCTTCCAGGGGACTGGGCACTTGGGTAGGCAATGGAACCCAAAACGTGGCCAACACAGACATTGTTCTATGGCACACTTTTGGCATCACACACTTCCCCTCCCCCGAGGATTTCCCCATCATGCCGGCTGAGGGCATTACGCTTCTCTTGAGGCCCCGAAACTTCTTCACCAGCAACCCGGTAATGGACGTGCCGCCGTCGTACTCGATTACACCGAGTGAGATTGCCGCAAAGAGGACAGGTTTCGACACGACGGACAAGGCGAGCAAACTAGCAGCCATGGGCAGTCAGTCCTGCTGCAAGCCACCGAAGCTGTAAAAACTTGGCACATGTACGACCTTGGCTCTGCGCATGAGCCCAGCGAAACTGTCGCATGAATGGGCTTGGTGGCTTGGTTGAATGCAGCTTGACGCCTGGCTCTATGCAAACATGGATGAGTGGTAGCCCCATGAGAATTCCTGTCTGCCTATTTCACGGCATCTTCCCACAAGCACAAGAAACGAGGTCATGTTCAAAGTTTCGGCTCATCTCTCAACGTTATGTAAGGCTAGGATAACTTAAGCAAAGTTGGATTTCAAATTTTCTCGTTCCATGATATCAATCCAATGAGTGGCATATTCCAACGAGTGCTCGCCATCGTAGGCCCTCCAAATAGCTTCGACAAGTTCTTCAGCTACTAAGACTGGCTTTGAAGGTAGAACAGTTTTAAGCAGCTTCAAACGATCTCGAATAAATTGTCGTGCACTGAGTACAGTTGATTCTGCGTCCTCCTGGACCTGTTCCTCATGCTCCCGCTCACTGTTTTCGCGAGAGATTTCAATATATTGAAGCATGTCATGATGCTCAATGTGTTTGTCCGAGGAGTCTGCCGTTTGCGACTGACGTACCCGTTGGGTGAGTGGGCGCTGTAACCTCAACCCACTACTGGCAGTGATGCAGAGCAGAGGTTGTGTCATTTTACTTCCAGAGTATCCTGGAAGGCCCTTCAAGAGAGTGACGAGCTGTAGAGCTATGGGTGTAATCCAGGTATGCCATAGGAAGTGGGCGTTGTTTTCCGCAGTCGTCTGGAGGCTATAACGTGCGACGAGAAGATCCGGGAAGGTCTGGTACAGCTGTAGCAGGCCGGCTTGGCGGTAAGCCTCCCCTACCCTAACAAGATGTTGATTGGGTGTTTTGCTGTCGTCCGTCTTCCCTCCTGTCTCGAGATGACTGAGATCCAGGGCAAGTAATTGCTCCTCAACCGATGTAGCTTGTTCCATCAACCTCATGGCCGAGGTGACATGCGCAGAAGCGAACGTAGCCCGAGTACGAGCGGCATGGCGAAATCTGTGACACAATTTCATGGTGCGCGTGAAAAGTCGGAGACTCGTACTGCATATGCCGGTCCAGGGGTGCGGGAAATCATCAACGGGTACAAGAGGCAAGTCTGGGCCTATGCATGTCCGTACATCCGCCTCGCCAATCCCCTCGACAGCTTGTAGGCTCTTGCAGTTTGAGAGGACCATGGATAGGAGCATTTCGACGTAGAGCCAGCTTTTGTTGAAGAATTGCAAGAGTTGGCGCTGGTCGGCAGGTAGTGAATCCGAGTGCTGGTTGATATTGTATAGCAAGGCTTTAGCCTCGCTCAAGAATGGCAATCCCAATTGGCCGGCGTTGAGCCAGCAGATACTTGTTCCGATGCAGAGTAATGAGTAGAGCAATCCTACAGGGACGGTATCGAATAGCTGATGTGAGTTTATAGTATGTAGATCCGCTGTGATCACCTCGGCAGCAGCCTTCATCATTGAAAAAGACATGTCCTTCATGGTTGGGACCTTGGAAGCCAAGTAGGCTGTAGACATGGCCTGAAGGCTGAGCTGTACGGCTTCGCAGTTGGACCAAAGGGCGGCAGCTATAGTACGATTGAAATTGGATTCGGAATCGTACTGGGACCAAAGGGGGCAAATATCGCGAAACCAGTATTCAACCATCATGTATGGCCCGTGGGCGACGGTGGAGATTGGAACCAATGGCTGCCTTGCGTCTAGATCAGTGTCGAAACAGCCCGAGTCATCCGAAAAAGCTGTTGATTCTTGTGAAACCGTACTCCAAGTGACTTCTGTGTCGTAAAGAGCCGTGTCCTCGTTGTTGGGGGCTGGCTCATCGCTATCCCATCCGGAAAACGCTGTAGGTCCGGCGTGTGTCCAGTCTCCATCGATGGCGCTATTGCTGCTGCTGCTGCTGGTGTTGAACGGATCCCACGCTAAACGACTCACAAGTCCGAGCAGTCCCAGATCCAAGACAGACCTTGTCTCGTCTCTTGGGCAGTCAAAAGGAGCGTCGGCGGAGCTGCTGCTGCATGCGGTTGTTGATGTGAGTTGCGATTCCGATTCTGACAGAGCGGGATACGCGGGGGTAGCATCAGGCTCTGCAGGAAGCTGTCGGCACTGGGCAGGCTGTGATTTTCGAGCTGTGTAAAGCCATGTAGGCGAAGACTGGTGTTTCGCCCGGTGAACTGGACGACTCTCGTGCTTGGTGGACCATCGGACATGTAAGCGATATCCACCACAATCTTGACCACGGGTAGCACATTGTCGGCACGACGGTCTCGTTTCGTCGCATTTGATCTGTGACATGGGTTTTAATAATTATTTCCCTGACCTTTGGAATTTCCAGAGTTGATGAAATGCGGGAGACCTACACGTCTCGCGCGACACGTCACGCAGCCATTGCGGGAGCGTGCGACTCGGCCACAAGTCTGGTCGGCAGGCATGTTTGATCACGATATCGTCTCGCACGTCACTTGCAAAAACGTGCGGTTGTCGGCGAAGATGAAGGATGCGCGTAATGCCAATGATGACGACGACGACGAGGTCGCGGAAGGCATTGCATTGCAGTCAGATTCCTGCATGTGTCGTGGAACCCCTGAGGATGGAGGGTCTGGGGTCTGGGGTCTGGTCCGATTGACCCCTCAAAAAGACTTCCCCAGGAGGGCCAAGGAAAAGATCCGAACCCGGCCCCGTCAGTAAACTATTGATTGCGTGCACCAACTATCGCGTGTCACGTGCAGCCACCTCTCGCCACAAAACCTCTGGCAGCCGAGCTCCCACTTTGGCCCCAGGCGTTGGCGGCGGAAGAGGCCGAGGTCAGTACAACGGCATTGATGATGGATGGGAGAACCTCGATCCCGGCACGCTTGATCGCAATGACCCACGGTGACGCAGCGCTACCGGTGCCATGGAGGACATCTGGATCGTTGGAGGCAGCGCAAACACCAATTGCAAGAGAGCCCAAGACGTAGAAAAAGAGGATACGCCAAAAGACACGCTTGACCGCCTTGGGCAATGTTCTTGCGAGGCTTCTCTGCCTCACCAGCCGCAACAGCAACCATCTCCACCCCACCGTATGAGAATGCCGCGTTGACGAAGGAAGCGACCAGCCGAGCTGCCAACGTGAATGTGGAATAGATGTCAATGGAAAACCGCTTCACTTTTATGGCTGTGCCACTTGACCTCCACCGAGCAACAAGTCAATCTATCTGGTAAATGTCGGAACAGACATTTGGGCAGGCGGCTTGTATGGACTGTTGCGCAATATTATATTTTCTGCACGTTGGTCCAATTGTTCTGTCTTCTGTTAGCTTCTTGAGGACCATTATTGCAAATACCAACTCACTAGGTCCATTATGATTGTTGACACTGGCATATCGTGTGGTGCCTCCAAGAGGGCGGTTGTCCCGAGTTCCCAACCCATCAGTTGCATCCAAATCTCTCGCCAGGCCAAAGTCAATCGTATAAAGTACATTACTGTTATGACCAATTCCCAGAAGCAAATTGTCTCGCTTGATATCACAGTGTAGGTAACCATGCTCGTGGATTTGTTTAACTCGACGAATAGCTTGGTCGGCTATGGAAGGACCGTTTAAAGCGAAAATTCCTGACCGCAGTAGTTGAACAGATCTTCGAGGGATGGCCCCAGCAGTTCGAATCGCCTTCTTGACTAAACCACAGGAAGCGCGGTATTCCAGTTTCGCCAGATAGAGCAGCGTACATGCCGGCTTTATATTCGAGTGCCTCGGGACCGTCTCGTATATGTGCAGTTTCATCGCAACCTCTTGCTTTGTCTCAACGTCGGTTCCTAATACAACTATATGATCCTTCACTCTGAAATGGTAGGTGATAGGATCGTACCAGCATACACAAGACCGAAGCCTCCTTCCCCGACTTTATAGCCAACGCGGTATTTTTTGTTGACCATAATATCCTGTAAGAAGGCTCATGTGAGTTGACCTCATGTAGATTTATTGAGGGCTATTCATACCTTCTTGATGAAGTGACGGTGCCGCCATGGCACACGTCGTCGACACGGAGATGAGAGAGTGAGAAGGGCGAGGGCAAGCAAGGCTGGCTTGGGATAATAACTCGGAGGCGCGTATCTACTGTTCCTTTATTGTAATATCTGTGGGAATTAAGCCAGCTTGAGAGGCGTCGGGTAAGATGTCACTGGCATCCTTTTTCGTGAAACCTGCACGGCAACGAAGCTGCATGCATTCACATGTCTACGTGCAAGCTGCGGGTGGTATCTTGCCTGGCGTATCGCATGTGTGCCAGTACTGAAGGTTTCCAGTGATGCAGTTAAGTCATACAAGTTAGGTAGATGGACCGGTCTGGGACGGTTAACCCTACCTTCGCCAACATGGACCTTCCACAACCGAGCACAGCGCGTAACAATTAGATAGGGGAAGCAAGCGACTGTTACCACGCGCTGCATCCCCAATTCATGCTTTTGCGACTACATCCAACGGTGCCAGCTCAAACACGACGAACAGCACATGCTGGCCTCTGACTGCGACCTTCTGTGTCTCCTCAGAATATCCCTATCCTTCATTCTCTCAACCCTGAACGATAGGCCGCTTATGGCAAGACCACAGAATCAAAAACATCGGCTTTTAAACAAGCCTTTATAAAGTAATCTTCCTGCTAAAAGGGAAAAAATTAGCAGAGAGAGTAACTTCTTGCTGGAATTTTAGGATAATCTGTTAAAAGTCTGCCTTACGCTGCGTGCCCTAAGGGAGCTTGACTATTGGAATAAGCGACGATCTTCGACGAGATTCGCAGTACCTGACTTGTACTCAACAAAACTTGCTCGATTTGCGAGGCATGGTGGCCCCGACCTTTGTCATCTTCGAGGAGTATGGCCCCAATCTCATTATAGTAATTATGTACTAATTGATGTGTTTAGTATACCGAACACGGCAGTACTGTGAACGATATAAGCTCAAGTCGCTGTTTAACGTCTCGAAGTCAACAGACACAGTCGACGAATGCAATAAGCGTCGCCAAAGAGCGAAGAAGTTTTCTGCCTACGGCAAGGAGTTTCAACAACATCTCACCGATTACAATATATATTATGCAGACCACGATTATGACAATGATGCTCCTGAACCTGAAAACCTGGCTCAGATGCATGAAGAGCTGACGGTTGAAAGAGCATCGCTTTCACCGTCTCAATTTTCTCTGTCGGCGTTCCGAGATTTTAAACAAAAGAATACACAAGTAGCTTTTGAGAAAGACGTCACGAGACCTGTCATTCCTACAATTTTTAGCAACTCTACTATCCATAGCTAGTATAACGTCTGGTTTACTAAGCTTAAGCCTATAACAAGCCAGGATATAATAAAGCCACAGCTAGACTTTTTTAATAGAGCTTACCTAGGAGATCTTAGTTAAAAGGTTAAGACTAATTAAGCTATTTTATTAATAGGTATTTTTACTAAGTATGCTAGTATCCTAGTAAAGCCTAACTTTTTCCTAGAAGTTAAGAGGCCTAATAGTAATACTTTTATAGCCTAGTAGTAAGCCTACTACAATAAAGTATACGGTGCTTATACTAAATATGCCTTATAAAACTATTATAAGGCTAGCAGATATATAATAGTAATACCTATACTTATAGCTTGACTTACTACGCTAGCACTAGTACGCTTTAGCTGTACGCTTATTACATTACCGCCCCCAGAACGGCTGAGGAGCGGCCCGGGTACCACATGACGTCCCTAAACCCATATGTATTGGCAGGCGACTGTAAGACTTTCGTAAAAGGGGCACTGCATTTAGAAATCTTAGGGATTCAGCCCAAAGATACCAGAACAGCTTTATCTAGACTGCGAATACCAGAGCTGTTTAAGGGAAAGTAGTAAGACAAGATGAGCTTGTTAAAACGAACAAAGAGGTCTCAAGCGCTCTTGATTTACACAAGTCCGGAGATAGTATAATATAGACTACCTGGCAGGATACGGACTACGCGCTTCAGCAATAAATTACTAAACATAGCAAGAATACCTCGTAAAATAACACCAAGGCATACACTACCACACCCTAATATTTATACGTGGAAAAAGATTTACTAAATCTAAGCCAGGAATCGGTAGTCTTAGCCCTCAATAACCTATTAATAAGTTTTACGTCTAGTTTTACTACTTTTACCACAGACCCAGTATAGCCGAAGCGTTTGAGGGATTATATCAGCCCACCCTCTACTTCTAAGAGAACCCACCCGTGCCAGTGACGTACGGAAGGTACAGCGCGACGCACTACGCGGTCGTCTGGTCAGGCTACGGTGTCTACATCTTCAGGTCCAGGCATCTCTTATTGGGTAGAGACATATATGCGTAGAGGAACGGTCTGCTTCAAGGATTTAAACAGGGGGGAGAATCAGACCAAGTTAAAGGAATAGACCGAACATATAGTGGACGAAACGCAATGCTATTATTGGCAAAGCGCTGCATCGTAATCATTATTCTGGACAACGGAGTTGCCAAAGGGGGCAAAGAACGTTTGTCGACACCGGTCGTGAATGAATTGTTGTCGTGGTGGGGATGGTGTCGGTTGTGTTCGTTGGAACAAGTGAAATTGTACCTTCCTCAATACCATGATTAACATCAGACGATTGACCTTTGAACGCGAGAGGATATTGTGTTGTTGACACATTTCTGTGTTGGCCATGGAGAATGTTCGTCGTCAACTAGCAACGGTGACTATGTGAAGACAAAAACGTTTATTGCACCAGAACTCGGTGCCGACGAACTCTGATGACGAACACCTCTCAACTTTTCACTCAGATTTGCCACGCACTTGTGAAGCTACATGAACGAATGGAGATACGGCTTATATTAAAACGCAAGCTAGCTTCTCTTTTTGGGCAGCGAATGATGACCGAAAGAAATCAATGTTAACCTTCTGGTCTTGACGCAGTGCTGAGCTGCTGGCACAGCTTGAGTGGTTTCTAACCAATCCTGCCTTCAAAATGCGAACAGCGCCCGACGACGCACGCGCTACGGTTCATTCTGTCCCCAGTTTAGTCAAACGGAACGATGGCAGAGGGTTCTGTGTCAGGGATGGTTTCTGTGCGCACTCTCCTATACAACTATGTTGGCGACGGTTAATGCTTAAGACGAAGCACAGTGGACGCCGCTTCACCTTGCGGCAAAGAACAACCATATTGAAGCGATCCGGACTGTAATAGAAGCCGGTACAATCTTCGATGCTCAGAACAAGTCTCAGTTAACGCCTCTTCACCTCGCAGCATTATTCTTAATTTACGGGTATATATAATCCATGTGCCACGAGTCTCAGGCAGGTCCTCAAGATTAAAAAGAATTGATCGTATATAGTTCGCTATTCCTTGTCAAATTTTGTCCAACAACTTACATGACTTGCATCTAGTCGTCCCATTTCCTCATCATTGCTCGTATGTCCAGACAATCCAAGTCAGTAGCCTCTCCCAGCCTCCCAGCATCCATCCGCCTAATCATATCAGCATGCGCCGCACTCCTCGGCGCAATTGCATACGGAAACTCCTTTGGAAAGCAGGCAACTCCACTGCCGAGCTCCAGTTCCACGTCAATCTCTTGCCCCTGCCCATCGACGGCCTTGCCAATGTCAAACGCGGCGAGCGTCTGCGCAAACGTCAGATACAGAATAGTATCGGCCACATACCTCCCCGGACACAGCCGGCGCCCATATCCAAACGCGTCCAGACGCGGGTCGCGCTCGTTCCGCGGCTCCAAGTATCGCTCGGGGTCGAAATCGCCCGGCCGCGGATACACCTCCGGATCGTGCAGAAACCACCACACGGCCGGCATGATGATGGCGCCCTTGGGGATACGATATCCCCCACACACCGCCTCTTCCGAAGTAGCATGTGCCAAGCCAAGCGGGACCGCCGGCGACCACCGGTACGCCTCCTTGACCAAGGCGTCGACATAGGGCAGCCTGTGACGGTCCGAAGCAGCAGGGAGCCGGCGCGGCCCCAGGACCGAGTCAATCTCCTCTTGCGCCCTGCGCTGCACGCCGGGGAACAGGATCATGCACAGGACAAAGACCCGCAGCGCGGTGACAATGGTATCCGAGCCCCCGAGGTACATGACGGCGGCGGTGGTCTTGATCTCGTCCTCGTCCCTGGGGGTCAGCGTCCCGCCGGGCGTCGCCTCGCGATGCTGCGCCACGAGCCGCGACACAAACGACTCGCGCTGCGTGCCCGACGCCATCCGGCCCAGGACAAACTCGAACGGCACATTGGCCATTTGCTGCGCCACCCTGCCGAACCGCCTGGCCGTCTGCTTGAAGCCGGCCCCGGGGCACCAGGCGGGCAGGTACTTCAGGGCCGGGACGACGTCGACGGCCCACGCGCCGGGCACAATGGCCAGCCCGAGCTGCGACACGGACAGCTCAATCAGCTCGATGAGGGGGTCGGCCTCGGCCGCGCTGCTCATCGCGTAGCCGTAGGTGATTCTCAACACGGAGCCGCCGGCGTGGCTGCCGGCCGGACAGGAACGGCGAATTAGCCCGGCGTGCGGTTACGAGACGTCCCGGGTGCTTGAACTCACTTTGCGAGATGCCTAAACAGGCTGTTTGGGCTATTGAGCACCTGTAGTAAATACCTGCGCGTCGCGGCGTCCTGCGGCTCGTCAAACCTCGACGCCGACGCCGCGGTGCCGAGGTGCTGGTGCACCATTTTCCGACAGCGCCGGAAGCGCCTGTCGTCTCCGCGGAGAACAAACAGGCGTCCGTAGCCGCAGAGGTTGGTGGCGAACTCGGACGTCGGGCGGTCCGACGACTTGGACGACGTGCGCGTCAGCAGCTCGTGGGCCGCGTCTCGGTCGTGGATGAGGACAATCGTCTGGCCGAGCACGCGGACGGAGCTGACGGCGCCGTAGAGGTCCTTGTGCGCGATCCAGTGCTGGTACTCGGGCCTGCCGCTGGGCGGGAAGTCTCGCATGTTGCCTAGGATCGGGAGTCCCCTGGGGCCGGGGGGCAGGTTGTGGGCGTGGCGGTTTCGAAAGACGGCGAGGTAGATGCAGTACGTGATGGCGGTGACGCAGACACCGGTGATGAGTATGCTCGTCATTGTGACAACTTGACTGCTTGTCAAGAGGAGTGAGGCAGCTGGGCCCGTTTACGAAACTTGGCAACGGCTGCTGGCCCTGTCGATGGCTGGTCGAGGTTCCAAGCAGAGACGGATGAGCTGTAGTTGAGCTGATGCGGTATATGGGACCGTTGTTTGCGTTTTATAAGCTCTAGATGAGCGGCGCGAATGCCTGCTCGGCATTTCAGTTCAAGCCGGTGAGCTGACGGCGTTGTCCCCGTGCAGCAAGAGTCAGGTTGCAGCGGGCAATGGAAATGTGCGTTGCATTGGGCCTGGCCACAAACAAATGAGAGCTGTCACCGTAGGGTCGGATTCTGTCACATTCTGCATGTGTTGGCACAGCATTTTGGTTTTGATTGCTTGTGGGTGGTGGTGTTGTGTCTTGGCCGTTGCTGCGCAGACCACGGCCTCTGACGTGGTTGCTTTTATCGCCACGTTTCCAACATGGTATAAACTTCTACTTCGCTACTCATAACAGGCTTGTAAGCTTCTTTGGAATCATTCATCCCCAAAGTACCGCTTCATCCATGTCTTTCTTCATCAAATATCGCAACTGCCAGAACTGGGCAGAGTATCGCCGCCCTCACGAAACGGGGCAGGATGTCGAGGATGCGGCTAGAGGCCATGTGATGCAGAATCCAGCCTACATCAACTCGTGTGGTCGCACCAAATGAGCAGTCATCTTTCCTGACATGGAGCTGGAGACGTGTGTGCAACGGGCATTGGTTGTCTTTTCTCCCCGCGTCACGTCCGCACATCTGGTCGATAGCACTGCAGCTCTGCCATGTGCATGTAGATGCTTGGAATTACTCCCACATTGGTCTAGCGAGCATGTATATCCATGAATTCCCCGCGGGCTTGTCGAAAATATGTCTGTACTTGACACGAGTAAATCCATTGGGGCGCCTGACTCGCGGTAGCTGGGATGTCTGAGCTGGGCTCTTAGTCGGACCAAGTCCGATCCTATCCCTTTGACTGCGGTAAGGTCCAACAAAGGTATCGGGCCCACCGTTGACCTTTCTACGATATTTATTACGTACCTTTACATCTTTTATTTTAATTTTTTTAATTAATTAGAGCCCTTACAGGGTATAAACGTTGGGCTTTACCGCAGTCAAAGGGATCGGGGATCCGGTGGCACAAATATCTACGTACTCCAAGCCACACCTGATTGCCCAAAGGGACAGGCGGCCGCGGTTGTAACCTTGCTCGATGTAGTCGTCGTGGTGGCGGAGGGGGATGGTTTACGAGCCAATTAGGACCACGATGAAGTGAATCAAAATTTAGTAATGAGATTTCTTATCGACCGTGTGGACGGCTAAAAGTACTCTAATTCCGCCGAGCTTTGACCCAGCATAGGACTTAGGCGATAACAAGGAGCTGCCCTGTCCGTCATCGAAGATGGATCGATTGGTTTCTAATTGATTTCCATCGAGGCTGTCATGCCTTGCAGTCCGCATGCTTCAATACTTGAACACTGACACGACGGATCCCACGAATGGATCAACTGTGTTCCGGGTCAATTCGGATATACCGCCAGATACTCCTCATGCGTTCGCACTGCCCTTGCGTAAACTCCGTCCTACATTCGCTAAACGAACATGTCAGCACGCTGTCCACCATGGCCCAAGAAGCAATCAACTTACTCCGAGCTGTAGCTCATGTAATTATGGATAGGATCAAGGCCCGGAAGACCAGGACAGCTGTTTTGGCCACGGGGGCAGGTACCCTCCACTCGGCCTACGGTCTCGTTCACGGCCGGCGTGTCGCTGACAAAGTCACCCTTGACCTCGTTACACCCGCCTTGGAAGGTGTGCAACAGTCCGAGCCAGTGGCCAACCTCGTGGACCGTCGTCTTGCCCATTTCATAGGGGGGCGTTCCGCCGGGCATGGTGTTGGTAGCCATTTGGCATCCATCCACGTTGAACGCTGTGCCTATATGGAGTGCGCCTCTCATGCCGGGATGGGTGCAGACGCCGCCTGTCTGGTTTGGAGAGTAGTATAGATTGAGCGACTTGTAGCTGCCTTTTCTGTATTTGCCGTAGAATCCAAAGGCGAGCTTTTCTTCGGGGTCGAACTGGAGGGGCATCGCGTCAATGCTCCTCTGCAGTCCCTTGAGCGTGAAACCGATGCGGCAGCTGGAAAACCCCTCATTGAGGACCTTTATTTGTTTTTCGACAATGTCGTCCTATGTGTGCAGTCAGAAACCCGGCTTGTGTGTTGATATGGAAGTGGAGGGTGATTACGCCGAGCCAACCACCTTCGTGTGTTTCGTTGTTGGCAAAAAGGGTGATGTAGGTTTCAATGTTGATCATGCCCTGGGTGTCGCAGCTTCCATCTCCGTAATGAGGAGTTGTAAGCTCGTCACTTGGAGCCTGGCTACGGCGTGGTGCGTCCGAGGTGGTAGTGCCAGAGACGGCACACGCGAAGGCTGTGCCGGCCAAGGCGAAGTAGAGAGAGAAGGGATAGAGCATGGTCACGGCGCTGTCCTTGCACTGTTCTGAAACAAGACGGGATCGATGCCTCAAGAGTTTGTATTCGGAAAGACGAGACGGCTGGGTGCCATTTATACCTCTTTCATTGTGCAGATGTGCCCCCAACTGGCCAAGCGGTTGGTCACGTTGATGGTACAGACATACAACATCCCCCATGGCCTCACTTGTGAGGAGGTAGGCGTATTCGGCATGCGTGGTGTCATCTACACCTGTTGCCGCTTGATGGAACTCATGCGACAGGGGACATGTGCAGCGGACGTAGTAGAAAAGGGGGCTTCGCGCCTTGGGCGCAGGGATGCGTGAACGACTCAGGATCACAGCCGAGTCGCCGACTGCCTCTTGGCTACCTCGTATATTTGCGGAGTCCTTCATGTTTGCACCAAAATAGCTTTCGGCTCCAGATACTCGCGCTACTCGCGCTACTCGTCCCGTGAGCCCTGACTTACATGCGTCTCTGCAAGTAGGCCGAATCTTGTGAGATTTTGGCTTCGCCGCGGTGGGTACTGCATCTGAGAGCCCTACATATGTACTCGTATTATTTCTACCCCGAATATCTTTATACTGGGTCTCTTTTCATGTGTGCGAATGCGTGGTACTCTTGCGATAATGCATACCACCCGACTATTGCTCGCCTTCCTGAGCTGACCTGACTATTGTAATTGACCTGACCTGACTATGGTAATTGACCTGACCTGACGATTGCTACTTCCTAATTAGGAAGTAGCCCTATCTGATTACTGACCCTAACCCTAACCGCGCAGCCGGGGATATAAGGTGCCCCCTTTATTGAAATTTGGTCCCCACCTCACTCCACTCTTAACCCCATTTTAGATTGTTATTTAGAAAGGAGTAATCTATTTGAGTCGAGCACCTGGTGGGGGCCCCGCCGCCCCATGGATCGTGGTGGCATAAAGGCAGTACTAAGTAGTATATAATATAATAGTATGACTAATTTGATGTAGCTGCTTGTACCTGACAGGGTTATTAGTACAGTAAGTATAACTTAAATTATATATACTATATAAAGTACTTAAGCAAGTCAAAGTACCGTTTAACTGTTCTTGTCCGATTGGTTACTAACCCCTGGACTTGGCGCCCCATCAGGTGCTCGACCTTCAAAGAGATATTCTTTCCGGAACGTGAATACGAGGATTCATTTGATGAGAACGCTATTTATTATAGTTTCATCGTGCATTATCGGCTTGTGCCCCAGCCCCGACCCCATGCCCCGGCATTAGTCTCCTCGTCCCTTGCATACAAGTCTTGGTATGTCATCTGTTATAATTCATGTGGCCTCATCCAAGAAGACTCCTGCTGCCGGCTGGCTTGGCATTCGCGAATAGGTAGGTGCTTTGGAGTTCCCCTTCACGAATAGAATAACTAGTTTGAAATTTGATTCTTTTTGAGCCCGGCAACTATCCCTGATTGCAACATGCCAGGTCTTATTGCGCAGCTGCTAAATATCTAAATATAGTATACTTGACATATTTTATTACACGGATAAAGCATAATAAATGTTGGAGTGTTACACGGAAATGGCCCTGTTACACAAGGGCTACAGTCACGGGATTAGGGCAGAAGGCCCTCACCGACTTCTTGTATTTAAAGACATTTTTGGTCCCTCAAGGCCTCGGGGAAAACCAAGGACCTTTGATACCAAAGACTGTTATTAGTTGAATTGGGCTCAATTGCTCCAAGCCCTCTTTACGAGCCCTTGTCAAATGGAGGCACCTTCCAAAGCGCCCCCGGGGGAGAAAAAAAAGGCTTCAACAGGCCCGAATTCAGTAACTACAAAAGCATCAAATTCAGCGGCATCTTCAACGAGCCCGAATTTCATAGCAGCGTCGAAAGCCTCGAATCCAAAAGCCCTAACAGCTTCAGAAGCCTCAAATTCAACAACTTAACAGACCCGAATTCGATGGCCACCCCGAATTTAACAGCCCTAAAAGCCCCAAATTTTTACCCCCCCCCGCTTGCCGCTTTGCTTACATTTATGACAGGGGCTTACGTTGTCATCAAGCCTAGTTACATTATAAAAGAGAAAAACTAGAAGCCCTTGAGGAGCCAGCTACTTGTTTATATGGTCTATACTTGCGGGCAAACTCTTAGACCTTTATTTAGTGGCGTTATTGTATTGGCGTTAGCCGAGTGCACTTCAACGGCCCAGCCCGTTACAATAGGGGTAGACAACAAAAAGCATTTGATCAAACATTGAATGTATTGTCAAGTCAATATACTATTGACAGCGGACCCTTGGAACAATAGTAGTAGGGTATCGTTACTGCTGGTGTCGAGTTGTGCGAGGAAACGATGCCCTGGCTGCCTTGGGCTTAGGCACATGGGCGTCGAAGCACTCCTTGGAGTTCTTGAAGGCGCCGTCGGTTGCAGGCGACCAGTCGAACAGGCCGCAGTAAGTCTCAGTCCCGCACTTCTCTTCTCTGTTTTCCGTGAAGCCACAGCCGGTGATGACGCTATAATTAATAGGTTCTATCCAAGGGCGCTTCTGGCCGGGGGTAGGCGTGCCCTCGGGCAACAGGGAACTTGTTGGAGAAATAGGGTCAGGACCAGAGCCAACCCCCCCAAGATGATCTTTAATCCAAGGGATGTAGCTGCCGACCCTAGTATACACCGTGGGAGGCTTGGTGCATTGGCCCCGTGAGACGAGACCGATTAATTGTCCCGTCTCCTGGTCGATAAGAGGACCGCCGCTATCCCCAAGGCATGCATCCTTGCCATTTACACCAGCACATATTGTGTCTGGATGAGCCTCGGGTGGATGAAATCGCAACCTACAATCCTGGCGCGGATGAACAGGAATTACAACCTTGGCAAGTTTGTCAACTGCTCCGTTACGATCGGGATCGCCGTTGCCTTGTACGCCCCTGGCTTATCAATTAGCATCCGGTCTTTTTCTAGTCAAGTAGGACCAAGCTTAATGGCACTTACCAGCCTGCGGTTATTGCGGTGGAATTTGGTGCGGGATCCGAGCCGTTTTCCGGCAGTACCGCATAGTCAATCCCAATTGTCTCGTTCCTCTCGATTGGAGTTGATAATTTCAAGATGGCAATGTCATGGACACCATGCCCCTTGATGTAACTAGGGTGCTCTATGGCGGATGCAATATTTGCAGTTACTCCGCCCATCCGTCTATTCTGTGTAATTATCAGCTCTGTATTTACCAGCTGTCTGTCGGCTACACAAGCAGCTAGGCGACCTGGCGGGAGTGACTTGACGGGTGAAGACATAGGGGGCTGGGGGGATATTTACCAGCGTTCCTGCCCTCACAGAGGTGAATTGGCCTTCAAGGCAATGAGCAACAGTAAGAACCGTAGTGCTGTCCAACAAACTGCCACTGCATTGACCCTCCTTTCGGCTAAGACTAACGATGAATGGAAACTCGCCGTCCTTGGCATTCTCCCCGCCTATTACTCTCTTGTCGATAGTTGTTGCTGCCGACGAAACAACAGAAAACGCGGCTAGTGCAATAGCAATATTGGGTACCATTGTAAAGACAGGAAGAAGCTGGTAGTGCGTTGCTAACAGTCTTGTGAAAGAGAAAGGTCAGGTATAAGATAGCACAGGCTAGTTTTCACTATACATGGACTGTAACGCAAAGATGTAGATGGGTGGGTTGTTTGCTGTATTTATCCTCTCACCTATATATATAGAATGATAGAACAAGCTGAAGAGGCTTGCAAAGATGAGCAAGTATTCGTGACTCGTAAGCATAATATTTTTACAAGTATGATGTGGATGCTGTCACAAAAGGCCCTAGTGTAAAATTAAATGCGTGTATCGGCAAAAGCCCCATGGATTGATAAATTACATCTCCCCACCTGAAAAGGACACATGGAAGATACAAGCATCAATTTTGACCTCAATAACAGACTATAACCCCGGTAGTAACTGGAGTAGGGCCTCGTGAAATCTAACAATCCAGAGTCTCGGTACGTTTTCGAGCCGAGTGGGCCGATGTCAGATAATAATGCCTCATCCAACAAGTTGCTGTTCCAGACCTTTGAGGACTGGGCAAGAAGAGTTCTAGACAAAGGCTACAAGTCTGCAGTTGTGGGAATTTATTGACCCTGAAAAACAGACGATAAATTACTGATGGAGAAGCCTAAACGAGCAACTGTAGGGGATTACAATCGCCGGACGCCTCCACAGATGTCAGATCAATTCAATGTTGATGTCACATCAGACTCCGACACCCATTCCGGAAGGCAGACCCGCCATGGCGGACACTCAAGCCAATATGTGGTACAACGACCCGATAGTGTGGGCGCCGATAGGACTAAATTATATACCGTTATAAACCTTGTTCGCTTGTGAGGGTTATATTTGACTCGCGATGTTGTAGGCTCTATTGGTATTGAATTGTTGAAGTTTGAAGATGGCTGTGTTGACGGAAGGTTTGGTGGGGACATTGACGCGTTGCAAAAGTCGGGCCCGTGTAAGAGTCAGGCCCATGTAAGAGTCAGGCACGTGTAAGAGTCATGGCTATATAAGAATCAGGTCCGAATTCAATAGCAGCTTCGAAAGCCTCAAATTCAGCAGCAGCTTCAACGGGCCCGAATTCAGTAGCAGCTTCAAAAGCATCAAAATCAACAGCCTCAAAAGCCTTGAATCCAGCAGCCCTAACAGCTTCAAATTCAACAGCCCTAAAAGCCTCAAATTTGGCCCCCCCCCTCCCCCCGGCCTGCCACTTTGCTTATCGACACTTATGACAGGGGTTTACGTTGTCATCAGACTAGTATCTTTCCTCGTACGGGCCCCTATCCCACCCCCAGGCCGGCCCTCTTTAAGCTCAACACCATCTCCCCGTTCGCTTATCGCCCAAATACATGAAATAAAAGTACGTCAATTTGACATGGCCGGCTTCACACCGAGGCGCCAAGGTTGAAGATGCATATGCGGCAGTGGTGGAACCATCCTCTTTACCTCCTTGTGTCTGGCTGACACTCATATTCCTTTCCATTCTTATTCCGTCATGCTATCTGGACTGAAGCAGAAATTAGTGGCATGAAGTGGGATATAGGCGGCGGCGCGTGAAGCCGGGTGGGCATGGCGACGTGGGCCCTCCACATTGATAATCGACAAACAGCTTACTCGGAGGATCGTATTGGAGGCCGGAGTTAAGATGCGGCCTCGAGCTGAGACTTGTCAAAGCTCTCCTGGTGTAGCATGGTTACACGACGGCTACGATCACGGCATCTAGGGCAGAAAACCCGCACCGACTTCTTGTATTTGAAGAGCTCTGTAGTCAACTAGGCTTTTGAGTGAAATCAAGCGCTTTAATACCAAGGACTGAAGACTGTTATTAGATAAATTCAGTCATGATACTCCAAGTCTTGAGCCCTTGTCTCACCTGGTTCTCCTGGGGTATTTATCTCTTCAAATATCATTACCAGTTCAAATATTCCGGGATTTGCAATGTCAACATGGTCAGCTATAGATCGCAAAGGTTGACTTGATGCTTGATTGTATCTATCGATTTAGGCAACTGACTGCTTGTATGGTTGGAAATCGAAAGAAATTGAAAAGGCCCCTTTTCAGTTTCCAAGCTGGCTTCTGGTTTGAACCTTGTGGACGACTAGGCCCGGCTAGATGATGCATTTGGCCACCTAGATGACGTGCGGGTTGACATGCAATGCAAGCGAAATCACAAAGCACAAGAAGCCCTGGTGGCGCCTTCTTCGCGTCTTTGGAAAGAAATTAATCTATTTGGTTGGTTTACTGTAGGTGCTCAAACCATCAGCCCCATCACATGCCAAGTAGCACATCAAAGTTGTAAATGACTTTCAACCAAAGGCAGCCACGATTTGCTTGACGATAGCATGGATCTGAGACCCTGGCAAAATCTTTTGACCGCCTAAACAGAGAATACCCTCACCGATATCACCAGCGTCTCCAGGACTGGGATGTCTGTTGCAGTGTTTGCAATGTTTGCAGGTTGATCACCCATGGGAACAGGCTGTAGAATGCTTGCAAGTTCTCGGCAGTTCATTCGTGACCGCATTCCACTCTGTGGTGACGCTGTAGTCACCATCTCCGTCAGGCATGGGCATGCCGTCAGGAAACATGATGGTGCCTCTTTTAGCACCGAGCTCGTACTCTGTCCAACCCGTGCGACCTGCATCGTCATCGCATTGAAGCTTGAGCCCGAATGTTCGTTGGAGACGACGCTCAGAAATGATGGTGCAAAACTCGGCAAGAAAAGACCCATAGTTGCTCATGTCGGGGACCTTATAGGTGCTATACTCGTAGGCCTGGAGAGAGGCATTTTCACCAACGAAAAAGTGAATGCCACGGAGTTTATTGTTCTCTGTTGGCACAATTGGCTTCATAATTTGGGCGACTCCGAGTCCCGGGATAGTCACCCTGTCAAAGACCATGACCTCGCTGTCGGCAGTGTCGAAGTGCTTATGTATCAGTGGAATGCTGACACCCCTGGGGACATTATGCTTTTGAAGTAGCTCGCGGAGGTCTTGAAGATCGCGCGAATAGAGCTCCGGTGCCTCGGCAACCTGGCTAATTAAAGGCAGGCTGTTATAAGTCATGGACGGCACAAAGTCGTCAATTAAAGACGCCATTGTGGTAACAGAGAAAAAACTGCAGGAACAAAGTAGTTGTATAATAAAAGTGTTAACTGAAAAGAAAATTATTATCTTTGTGGAATTTGAGTTGGAAACCACGAGACCATGACAGATGGAGTGTGTTTCTTCTTGTATGCTCTGGCAAAGGACACCATATCAATTCCTACCACCATGTTCTTCTGCTTGACCCCTCTATGTTGGCTCGTTGGCCGCCTTGTGTTGGCCCGTGAGTGATGTCTGCGATGTATATGTCCTCATGTGTTATTTACTAAGTCAATGTTCCAATGAGGTGGTGGTGCGCAGATGCGTCAAGCCGACCAACAAAACAGCCAGCCAAGAAGGTCCAAGCAGGCAGAAAATCCGAATAAGAATACCAAATATCTTGCTCTATTGGCCATTCACCGGCTGTAGGGCTTCACAACACGGCCAACGTGATATGGCACGGCCTTTCCAACGAAACAACGACGACCAACAGGAGCAGGCCAAGGCTCCGTGCCATTGCTGACCGGATTGGCCTCGGGACGGGTGTTGTTGTTGGGTACCCGCGCATTGCGTTTCTGCCTAGAGCACCGGACCGTGCGTAATTTTTGATTTGATCAACATTGAACGGAAACATTGAAAGTTATGGTGCCGGCTAGGTGCTAGCAATATGCCGGCACCGCCTGGTCGATGTAACTTTTGAGGCCAATGCCAATTTAAACCGCCACACACGCTAAAAAATACACCTCACATCACACATCACTAATTTATATATTATTAATTAATGGTCTGGTATGGTTGCTTCAATGTTCAGTCCGTTCAAGGTTTATTACAATAGACTTGGCAAGCTTCACGCTGTTCCCCGGGCCCTCAGTTTGTCCCATGTGGACATAGAGAGGCTTAGCAAACGATCGTCGTAGCCGTAGCTTCAAGTCCGTCTATTTCTACATATGTATTTACATAATCAGGTCGATTAGTCATATGCATACAGTGCTCATGCATAAATATGTACTCGACAGCTCCCAAGAGACGGACTCGCTTCCTTCCTTGCCTCCTTCACAGCACGATTGTTCGCCCATAGGAAAGCATTCACCAGCGCGTCAGCCAGCCATCATGGACGAAACAGAAATCTTGGACAACATAGACGGCCGCATGCATGGACCCATGCCCGGTTTTATGGCAAAGTTCTTTGGAGAACCTACCTGCACTCACCGAGACAATAGATCGGAGGTCCAGTCAGTTGCTCCAACTCCCGACAGTTTCCTGCCATGGTTTTCAAACTTTTTATCAGAAAAATACGGCGGTGACCGAGCTTCGTGGCACACATTCAGCAATACCGTAACGGCGAATCATGAGCAGTCTGATTTGGGGACAAGTCTCCTCCTGACCATGCCTCCTTCACCGACCCCAAACGCCCAGACCAGATGGAGCCATGCCCAAGTCATTGGTCAGTTCTATCAGGATGAAGGCGTTGGTTATCAACACGGACTGGTGCGTCTCTGTCAGTCCGCCCAGCAAGTCTTTGCTAGTCAGCCTACCCGATTGTTCCTTCATGGCTTTTACATACGTGGTTCACAGATGGAGCTTTGGGTCTTTGACAGATCTGGGCTGTATTGCAGTGAAGTGTTCGACCTTCAGAAAGATTTCGATCAATTTGTCTTCATCATGATTGGCTACGGCCAGATGACCGACGAGCAACTAGGAACCCTACAACGAATCAAGACTGACGAGGAAGGAAGCTACATTACTCTCGAGAATGTGGCAAATTCAAACTTGGCGAAACTCTACCTAGAATCCCAGCCCATCGCCTGCCGTGAAGGCCTTGTCGGAACGGGGACAACCTGCTACCTTGCCAGGCCATCTGGCTCGAATCGCTGGAATTACGTCTTGAAATTCAAATGGAGATGGGCCAGACACCGCCCAGAGGACGAGCTGCTCCGGCTAGCCCAGGAAAAGTGCGGCCGGTGCGCCATCTCCCTCGACCATTACGAGGAAATCAAAAGCACGGCAGAGTTGCGCGCAGGTCTCCGCTGGGGGACACATGAAAGGTTTTCCAGCGAGCAGCACGCGGACAGCAGACGCAGAGGCGTTGAAGGCCTGCGTCAACCGACCGGACTAGCCGACTACACGGAGAAAACCGACAACTACTTCCAAAACCGCATCCTCACTTGTGTCGTTACGTCTCCTGCCGGCAGACCGCTTGAGACCTTTCGATCTCTGTTGGAGCTGCTTCAAGTATTCCGTGACGCTGTCCAGTGTCACCGGTCACTCTACCGAGAGGCAGAGATTCTACACCGGGATATCTCTGCGGGCAACATGATTATCCTGGATAACCAACAAGGGGGCGCGAAAGGGATGCTGATAGACCTTGATGTCGCAATACATCTCGGAACCGAACTGGATCGCGGACTAGGTATTACCGGAACGAGACCATTCATGGCCATTGGCGTCTTGAAGGGCCATCAGAACACTTGCAGACACGACCTGGAGGCCTTTTTTTATGTGTTTCTGTGGACAATCATAACCAATCGCGGCGACGATCCCCCGGAGGCGAGCAGGCTCCGCCAATGGAGCAGGGGCACTTGGGACGAATTGGCTGCACGCAAGTCTGGCGATATGGCCTGCGACGGATTTGAAGAGATTCTGGGCGAGTTTGCTTTAGAGTTTCACCCTCTAAAGCCACTTGCCGAAAGGTTTCGGGGGATATTATTTCCTCTGCGAGAGGGGACCATATGGATTGGCACTGATACCGATGCAGAAGCAGTGGACGAGCTGTATGAGCAGGTGATTTGCGCATTCGAGGAAGCAATACTTGGTCTTGAGTCCCACGAGTAGGAGTGGCCAGTGGATATTGCCCGCTTGGAGAGCTGGTGGAATGTCAAGCGGCCGAAAGCTTTATGGCTGCCAGACCACCGGGTATAGAAGTGTTGGGACCACACTCTCTGTAACGTCGTCACATTTTCAATCTCTGGCGACAGGGGTATTCCAAGAGAATGAACGAGGCAATAAGACGTAGCTAGTAATAAACACTTTGAAACAGATTTTGCAACTCTCAACTTGTTAGATGCAAGGTGGCAACTTGACTTGGAAACAGACATGAAGATGCAGTACAACCTACCCCAGAGCAGTTGTCCACTCTCAAATTTCACACACCACGCAAGTCACTCGACTAAATACCGAGTCGAACAGAAAAAAGTGTATTATATAAAATGCTCTACAGTCTTGTCTATAATTAAATCTACGCTAATACACGACATGGCACTCATCATTCCGGACTTGACCACAAACACGGCCCGCACCACAGACACACTTGAATCCTCCATTACGCACCACCCGCCCGACACGGAAGCAAATTGAGCCGACTGCACACGCTGTAGCACGCATCGAGCAGCGTCTTCTCCGTCTCCCAGCACAGCTCGCGGCGCGCGCGGTCCACGGCGGCCACCGAGGCAGCCACGTCGCCGTCGCGGCGGGCGACCGTCTCGCGCGGAATGTCCCTCCCGGACACGGCCTCCATGGCGCGGACGACGTCGA